CGGGGGCAGTGCGCAGGCGCGGATTGGAGGCGGGGCTCGGGGACTGGAGGCCTCTGCAGCGGGAAGGGCGGGCGGAGGTGGCTGGGGCTGGAATGCGGGCGCTCGGGTTTGAGGTTCCTTCTGGGTCTGGAGCCACAATGCAACTATGTAGCCATGCCCACCTCCCGCCCTACACACACTTCCAAAAGTCCCAGGTTGGGGCCCCGACGACGGTGAGCTTAAGTCTCTGTTGAGCCTGTTCCCTGCTTACTGAAGTAACTGAAGTCGTTGGCCTGTTTTTGTTGTGTTGTTTGTTTCTTGAAGTTGATGCAGTTTTTCTTACCTCTGTCTTTGCACCACGGCTCTCTCCCCGCTCCGTTCTCCCTCCGCTCTCAGGCCACTTCTGGTTAGAACAATTCTCAAGTCTCCCCCGTTTTAGTGATCACAGAAGCTGTGCTGAGCGGTCGAGTCCCAAAACGCTGTCGACAGACACTCTCTGTTCTTTTTGGACCCAAATGTCTTTCCTCTCATTCAAGAGTCACCTTCCTGTTAAATAGATGGCCAAATGTTCTCTGTGCTCTTCCGTCTTCTCGCCTACAATTTGAACAGTCGTGCCTCTGGGTATGCGTGTGTCCATCTCTGAGTCCGCTGCAGGACAAGTGGTTGGAAACTAAAGTATAAGTAATCGTTGGTGAACTTGATCAGCAGAGTTCTTGTCCATGTGTCTGTTTTGGTTTTGTCTACTTCTTAGTTCCTTTTAGCTAAGCAGGTTAAATCTCGAGATCTCAGTATTCCCCATGTAGAAGCCAGAGGGTTGATCTCTGAGGTTACCCGAGGATTCTGATAGTCTTGACTCCTGTAAACGGAGTACTTAGGAGAGAGGAAACTGGGCTTGTCTACTTCTTCCATAAAAGTAAACAAAAGGCAGAAGCGGCTTCATCTTTTCCTAGTCTCTTTAACTTTGATTTTTAAAAACGAAGAAGGGAAGGAAAAAGGTAGAGATGGGGAAACGTGGAATACTTGCGAAAGGCCCCTGGAGCTGTTCCCGTTCCCATCTCATCCACAACAGCCACAAGAAATGAAGCCCTGGACCTCTCCACCAGACTCCTCCTAGCCATGTACTGGAAAAGGGAGTGCTTCGTCGTCTTTAGATGCTTGTGTCCAAATACTAGTCTTCGAGATATTCGTAAAGGAGAATAAAATCATTAGACTAGTCTGTACATTTAGAGCATTAAATCTGGATTATTTAATAGCCTGTAGGCTTTTTAGAAAAAGTGATGTTTGCATAACTGGCTTACATGAACTCTTTAGTATTTTCATTCTCATCCAGTGTAGGCAACGCTTTAGCAACTCTTGAGACATTTTTACAAACTCCCACACATCTTTGGCAACTTATTAATGGATGCCAGACCCATAGTTACTTGTGAAGTTAGGATTTCATGTTTTAGAACTCTATTCCAGAAATGGTCTTAGAATATTTTCCAAGTGCCCCTCACAAGAAAAGGGAGATGGGTTTGGCTACTAGCATTTTCACTAATTTTAATAGATAAAATACAAAATTGGTACTGTAAATATAACTGGGAAACTTTGATAAGGGTTGTCAAATGGTTTCTCATAAATATTCTATCAGTTTTTAAGTCATGAGCAAAATGCCACAAAAGACTTCTGCTTTAAGATATGAGAATGTAAAACATCTGCTTTACCATTCTACTCTTAATAAGCAGAGCACTGGATACAACACAAGCAAACAGCTGTTTCTAGATACTGGAAAACAGACTCTGGGTTGTGGTCCCTGACTAAAGAGAAACGGTGAGCGTAATCAGAGCCCTGTATCTCTGCCCTAGCAAAAACATTTCTCAGCTAACTTTAGAGGGTGGACAGCCAAGTAAGAGCAGGATGGTCCCTTACCACAAAGACACTGCTCTGTGTCCCCATAGTTAGGGAAGCTGAAATTAAGGAAATAGAGTCACCGAGAGAAGGAAGAAAGAAAATCTACACAAATTGGACCAGGAAACCATTGAGTCTTCGGCGCCACATGGCTCGTATAGGATGAAACCCTAGGTAGTTGCCTAGGAACAATTTCTAGGGGGAAAACACACCAGGATTATTGCAAAATAATCCCAAGATAGTTGTTTCAAGGGTTGGGAGTCATTAATGTAAAGTGATCCCTTCAGTCAGAGAAAACTCACAAGTAGGACATTTAGTAGATGCCTGGGTGCTAAGTTGTATAAGCCCCAACTAAGACCAGCCTTAAAGGAGCCTGACAGAGGATAAACTTTAGACAACTGAGCAACTGCCTGTTGAAAGAAGTTTGATGTTTCACAAAGGAATACAAGAAGTGGACATCACTAATAAACCACAAGGTAAATCTAATGGTCATGCAACAAAGCTATGACAGTAACAGATCTGAACACAGGGACGCTGAGTAACTCGTAGTTAGTTATTGCTGGAAGGCAGTGGTTAGAGTCCACAGTGAACTCACCATGCTGACGAGCACGAGTTATGTGAAAAGATGAGATTTCTCCCTACAGCCCAGTGGAAGCGTGCTAAAGACAAGCGAGGTAGTTTCAAGCATACACCATGTTAACGCAACAGCAAGGAACTGTCGTTTCCCAGTTGGGAGTTTCAGATTGTCGATTGACTGTTGGGGTGGTCTTAGGTAAGACCCCTCCAATAACAAAATTATTCACACAGCCAACACCTTGTATTTGCATGCCGCTTTGTGTGCTTTGTTTTATTACTTAGCTGGAGGATGTTTGGGGTGGGTGGGTGTGAGCGCGCGCGTGTTTAAATACTTCTGAGAAGCAAGTGACATGGAGCCTTTGGTTTTCTTAACTGTAGCTGGGTCTGTTAATCTGTACTCTGCCTGCTTTTTCAGGGAGCTCACATGAATTAAATGTGCTAAACTTTGTGGACTAACTTGGCAATAATACATCACTGCGCGATTCTCATTCTACTAACGTCTTGCATATTTCCTTTGAGCTTCTTGTCCACCACAGTGGGATGAAAATCAAATTCCAATCCTGATAATAGAACACAGGCAACAGACACCGGGGTATGTGCGTGTGTCCAGTCACAATGTCTACCCCAATCACAGAAGTCCAGAGCTGTCATTCTGGAAACTTCTGGCAATTGCCACACTAACCATTTAATGGTGTCTTGAGAAATTAAGGGTTACCTAGTATATTTTCTGTATCCAGCCTTACTTCACACATTTTTTTTTCTGGTATATTCCACACGTGTGTGCAATTTGTACATCCTCTCCACTACAACATTCTTTTGTGATAACTCAGAATCTAACAGAATAATCAGGAAATAGTCACTTCATTGAATCTTTTTTTTCTTTACAGAGTAAATGTATAGATTTATTTTCCATTAAAAGCTACAGGAATATTCTTTGTGATGTCTGGCATTTCCTCCGTACATTTCCAGAATATAAATGAGAGGTAGAATGCTGGTTTCAGTGTTTTTTTTTTAATTTATTATATAAAAGAAAAAAAATGAATGCAGTTTTTTGTACACATTTAAATTCCATAAAACAAATCCATAGAAATTAGGATACTGTATGCATGCACTCTGCATTTTCTTTGTTAAATGTCTTTGTTCACAAAAATAACACCACATGTTTTTCTTTGAAGCCACTAAAGCAGAGGAACAAAGCATGCAGCACATATACATTTGCATAGTGAATTTTACCCAGCATGCCTTGCAGAACGCTATGCATACCTATATAACAAAAATGAAAGGGACAAATTATTAAAATAAATAACCAAAATAAAAGGAAAGTTATTTGACAAAGGCATTTTCCCCACCACATCAGCAGAGACATAGGAATAGCCTGGGATTATCAACAGCCCTCAGAATAGGGGGAATCTTTTTATATCATTTTACCATAATTATTTTTAGTGTGTTTCCTATTAACAATGTTATTTTTATTCCCTCCCACCTCTTAAAAATACAGCTAATGGCGTTAACTTATGCTTCAAATAATATCAAGTACAAAACAAAACAAAGAATCCCTACTTACTATTTTTCCATGGGGACATTTTACTGATCTCTAACTTGAGGCTGGGAAAAACATAAACTTTCAAACATCCAAAGCCCAGAGGAGCCCGTGAGCTCAACTGTGTGCCATTTGTTACCAAAGGAGGAGAAACAAGAACAGAAAGTATAGTAATATAGTATGAGTCTTAACACAAAATAAAATTTGTATGTTTTATGTGAGGAAAAAATAAGTAAGTTACACTCACAGATTGGAGGCTATGAAATAAATTGCTGGCAAACACCAAGCAGCAAAGTTACAAAGATGAGAGATAAAATAAATATGCTAAAACACAGAACCAAATCTACATACTTCTAAAAAGAGGACTGCCAAATTTAACAGTGGGTTTTGTTGTAAGTTTGTGCTATAACAAATGTGCTTCTTTCTCCTCAATCTATTTTCATTTATTGGCAAAATATATATATATTATAATTTTGTACTGTACAATATATATTTTTGCTACATTATTTTTCTACTGCTAATGCAGAAGTAACAACATAAGTTTATTTTGGCAATAAAATGCTTTCATTTTAATAACATCCCAGAAAATATTGTAAGGCATATAAAAAATAG